TATTGCACAAAAACTGCTCTGTCCATGTGCCTATAAGAAAGGAAGAAGTAAAGATACACTACAGGATGAGCTTTTAAGCTATATTGGTCACACATAGAAAGAAGAAATACTAATCTCTAATTTCCTTTATCATAGACGTGTGGACCGTTGAAGTTACATCTTTCTTGAGGGGGTCTCTAATCAAATCAGAAATACTCACATTTTCCCACAAAATAAAATGCTGTACAATAAAATAGACCGTTTATATTTAAAAAATATATATATTTCATATACACCATGCACACTGCAATAAGGAAAACAATATTGTTAAATAAAATATTCTGTCCTGTGTTTTAGAACTTTAGCTACAAAAACGTTATTGATACTTTGTAGAGTGACATTTAATTCCAATGTACTGTACTAGATAAGGGCGCTCAATAACATTTGCCACTTAAGTAATGATTCATTTTAAGATTATTACAGCACTTCTGTGCGTGTTTTATTAGTATTAATTTTTTCTAATTAATCAACAATCTTAGTTTTGAGTCTCACAATCATTGTACATAATAAACAATAGAACTTTGTTACAGTATCATCATCATTACTATCATCTTATATCAGTCCAACGCAGGAAGAAATCCTCTCCCAAATTGTCACTCTGACCTACCAGTTGTTAGCCAGTTCCATCCTACACCAGCAAATTTGTGAATTTCATCTATTCTTCCGATTCCCTGCATAATCAGATTTTTTGTTCGACTTTCTCGGTATATCTAAGAAAAAGATTGATTCATTGAACACTTGGGAGCCCTCGATGTTAAAGGCTCTAAAGGCCGCCCCTGTCTATGAATTCATCACAGAGAAGTTTGATTCCTTCATGTCCCCAAGAACAATGCTCGAAAGAATCTATTATAACTTGATAGTGTCTATCTGAAAATAAATATTACCTTTAGAGTGTTAGATTCATCAGTTTTTTATTTTCTCATTTGTCGAGAAATATCGACTATTGAGTCCAGGTTTTCTTAGGACAATGTAGAGATATTTTAAGTAATGTATTTTCACCAAATATTTTGAGCAGATGATAGACAAAATAACGAATTTTACTCGCAAGTTTAATTAAAAGAGATTTTCATACATACATTAGTTAACACACGATTAGGTCTAGTTTTATATATATACATAATTACATTTATGTTAAAACCTTCAGTAGAAGTACTTTGTCGGGAACTGAGAACTATAATTTTCAACTCGGTGCAACAGGTCTCTTAAGTCATCTCGAGTATTATTATACTTGGAAACTATCTGTAATTTCCACTCAGAAACCATTGGCTATGGAATAGTCACACATTAATCTATGTAGTTTAATGTCTTAAGCTCTGTAGACACACTCAGCCGTGTGTGAAACAGGTACAAACTTGGAGAACTCAACACCGTTCTTGTTGAAGACAGCAGCACACTTCTCCACGGCGGGTCCTGAGGTCTGGGGTGTCCGGGAGAACACGAAGGCGAACTCAGATTTGTAGTTATCGGTGGTGATACATGAGTAGACGCAGGAGTAGGTCTCGTAGTCTGTCTCGATCACCTCGTAGGGGGCAGCGAACACTGCAGAAACAAAAACCCTTGTCAGTAATGAGGATCTTCAGTGGTAAACGTTTATTGAATAACCTATGCAAATCCATAACCAGAGAATACCCGTGCATGAGCTCATTTTTATAAAGTTTTCTATTGCTGGATATCGAAAACCCGTTAAAAATAATTTCATCGTGGCATTTGGTCACGTTGTACTACGTCAGTAATAACTTACCTGAGGGAGCATCAATGAGCATGTGAGCGGCTGGAAACTCCTTAGTGGGGTAGACCTTAAAGTCTATCTTGAGGTATTCGTCATTTGGGTTGAAGCCAGCGGTGGTCACCTTGAAGCCATAGTCATTCCCGGAATATTCATAGTTGGAGTTTATGCATCGAGTTACCGGCTGGTAAGCGTTTTCTATGATGTGGGTTTGATACCAACGACCAGCGTACTGAGGAAAAGGACAATCTGTTGTTAAATTAATTTCAACTTACTAATTATACTTATGTAACAAAAATGACATCTCACAGTGTGAGGCATGACAAAGTTGCGAGGACATGGGATTAACTTAGTCTCAGAAACTGAAATAGTTGACCACTAAGCCCTGTAGCCCTAATATATATAAACAATATAAAAAACCCTTGACACTAACCCTACGGAGGTCGAAGTTGTCCTGGTTTGCCACTGACGCACATTTGCCAGCAGTGACAAAACTTGGAATTCCATCAGCAGCCACGCAAGCCACGAGAGCGGCGACAATTACTGTTCTAAACATGGTGAGACTTGGTTATGCACTGAGTAACAAATTTATCCCAGCCTTTTTATATGAGCCACCACCCGGACCCAGACACCCGTTAGAGGGTGGAGTCAGTGGGGTACCTACGATGGGACTGCAACATTAACAACAGATTCCATGTCAGGTTTTTACTTTTCAAAATTTCATCTGAGATTGTTGTGATATGTGAATATTTTAGTCGTAACCTTCATCAATAAAAACATATGTATTTACCTATATATTCTAAAAGGAGCATTAGTTACACTTCATGAAGGGAATATATCAAACATGAATTCATGTGTTAACCTTGGTGGGCGGAGCTAGTGTTGCCAAGCAGAGACCATACTATATAAAGAGCGTCTAGGATCTGTAGACCATAGTCAAGCTTTACACCATGAATTCACTGAGCATTCTGATGGTCTTTGTGGCCTCCGTCGCCGCTGACAAAATCCCAGACTTCGTGGTCCCCGGCAAGTGTGCTTCTGTTGACAGGAACAAGTTGTGGGCCGAACAGACACCCAACCGCAACAACGTGAGTTTTCTCTACACATACAACTATTAAAAAAGATATTTTGAACAATTTAATTCACTGTTATATATTTTCTTAAGTTCTAAGTACCCAAATTTCGCTTTCAGGTTATTTTGAAAAACCCACAACGAGTTGTAATTATTTTTAAAATAACCTGAAAGCGAAATTTGGAATTTATTCTAACCTAACCTAACCCAATCCAAACTCACCTAACCTAACCTAACCTGACCTAATCTTAACTAACCTTACCTAACGTAACCTAACCCAATTCAAACTAACCTAACCTAAACTAAGCTAACCCAATCCAAACTAACGTAACCTATAGTAAAATATCGCTTCTGGTCATTTTCCAAACAACCACAACGAGTTGTGGTCGCTTTTCGATTTCTTTGCCATATTAATATATATATATATATATATATATATATATATATATATATATATATATATATATATATATATATATATATATATAATTGTTCTTCCAAATGAATAAAAATACATAAGGCTCTCAGTATAACAATGAATGGTTAAGTGTGTATAATTCCTTTTGTATAATATTTTCATTTTTTCAGTATGCAGGTGTATGGTATCAGTTTGCTCTCACCAATAATCCGTATCAACTGATTGAAAAATGTGTCCGCAACGAATATTCCTTTGGTAAGATCTTCTTAACCATCTTTGTCATCGTTTCTAAATTTTATTTTAAAGTAAGTGAAGAATACTTGTGACAGGAAACTGTTGTTTGTGAACGATGAAATGTGACATTGTGTTCAATCTCTATCCAACAGATGGAGAGCAGTTTGTGATTACTTCGACTGGCATTGCCTATGATGGTAATCTGTTGAAGCGCAATGGGAAACTGTATCCCAATCCCTTCGGTGAACCCCATCTCTCCATTGACTACGAGAACTGTAAGCCTTTACTGCCAGTGTTCCATATTCCTTACTAAATTATCCCTAATTGTGGACACGTTTGATAATGTTTACGAATGATTCTATATTATTAGTTTGATAATTTAAAGAAACCTAAGACACACACACACACAGACCCACCTGAGAAAAAACAAAAAGACCTAAAATTAGACATTAGTTAGCAAGAACCATCCTCAGGGGTGTTCAGTGCTCGAGAGTAAGCTTCTCACAAAATCGTTCATCAGTTCCTAGGTCCTTCAAGGACCTCGAGAATGCTTAATGTACCTATCGCAATTATTGTTCATTCATAACTTACCCTTTAATAATTGTATTATTACTCTTCCTTCCGCCAGCCTTCGCCGCCCCGTTGGTTATCCTGGAGACAGACTACTCTAACTACGCCTGCCTATACTCCTGCATCGACTACAATTTTGGATATCATTCCGACTTTTCCTTCATCTTTTCCCGCTCTGCCAACCTTGCTGACAAATATGTAAAGAAATGTGAAGCTGCGTTCAAGAACATCAATGTTGACACGACTCGCTTCGTCAAGACCGTCCAGGGATCCTCGTGTCCTTACGATACTCAGAAGAAACTCTAGGTTGATCACATCACTAAATAACATTATAATGATCAAGCATGAGAATGCTTCATGTAATCCTTGCGGAGACCACCAGCAACACAAATTAAACTTATTGTCTTTTATACGATATTTTCTTGTAAAAATACTATTCTATATTTCATCAAGCTGTAGTAAATGTTGTACAGTTTATATTAAATATGTTCATAAACAAGTGTAGGACTTAGTTGAAATACCTTAAAAACACACAACAAGGGTTACTTTAAAGCAGGAAATAACAAAATTGGGAAAGGCAGCGACTTTGCAAACTCAAAAGGTAAAAGGCAATTATAAGTCTAAATGCATTGATGTCATGGATTGAAAAAGCTGTACACTGACTGATGAGGTCATGAAATAGAATTTAACCACCGTATGCCCTGGAATACCTGTACATAAATATTGTGAATTCCACTAGAGGTAGTGTATTCCAATCACATGGCAGAAAGTGAAAGGAGAAACAAGAGATCTAGCTATTGAGTGGGGGGTTTTTTCACCAAAAAGGTCATGTTTGTGTACTTTGTGTATCAAACACTTTTTTTTTCACAAAAAGTCATTTTCAGCGTTTAATTTTCATACAAATTTTTTTAGCTAAGCTTTCTGAATGTACAGTACTTTCACTAGTTGTGTTTACAGGGTTCGTCAGATTTTGTAGTGTTTGTCTACATTCGAATAATGGAAACTAGCAATAGTAAACATACTATGGAATCAAATTAAAATAATATTAAAACAAATGTCTGAGAGATAATGATTTGTGGAATGATTATATGACAAGCCCCTGTAAAGGCACGAGTGACGGGAACTGCACATGGCTCCATTTCATGTCATCGATGGCTCATCCAGCTTCTGTTATAAATTAATAGTCATAGCTTTGAATCTAAGTGCAGATTTTTATTCTTATTTCTGATTTTACTTCATAGAATCATTAAAAAATTAATTTAAAACTAAATCGGCCTTCCATAAGAAAAGGTAGATTTAAGCAGGACAACCTTAATCCTCCGAGAACACCCCTTAATAAACGATACACCAAGCAGGTCATATTTAGGGGCAGTTTATGTGTCCACAAGTGAGTCTACCCAATCCTGCACAGTGAGGTTAATCAAGTACTGATAACGGGAACCACACTGGACAGAGTTGCCTGAACCATTGAAGAGGTGCCGGGAGCTTATCAAATGTGGATATCAGAATAATATATACAGTATATCCACCCCTACAGGTATACTTGGATTCTCCCGTGATAATTGATCATGTACTACACTATGGTCATATACGTCTATAGAAATAACATAGACACTTCTTAAAATTATGAATAGTTGGGGGACCTTGACAAAAGCATTTATACGGATACTTGACCTATAACTAGGATGCATTTTTTTTAGCCATTACCCAATAATAATTAATGCGCCTGAATATGTGCAATGTAATAATATGCAGAGAAAATGCAGAGTGTAATTTGCTGAAAGTCTTTAGAAACCCACGTCATTACACAAACACCACGAAATGATCGATTCAATTTCTATTACAAATTCTCCGAAATATTGACAAATAAGTTTTTATATAGAAAATGTTGCTCACTCTCACGCTGTACATGTAAATATAATCAAAATTAAGAAGCTCCATCTGAATACCAAGTTATGATTATTTACCTGGTGACTTATACTAGATGAGCCACACACACACACCCACACACACACACACACACACATATATATATATATATATATATATATATATATATATATATATATATATATATATATATATATATATATATATATATATATATATATATATACCGAATCTGCCAACATGAATTTGTGTAATGGTATGTACAAACTGGATAATTCTGTGATTAAGAATGATTTGCAACCAGGTGAGAAGGTTGGCTCATATTACCCTATGACTTGACTACGGACAGCAACTGTGCTTAGAGATGGCATGGTCAATTTCTTTGAATTAAGAAGATTAGTAAGGGTCACTGCCTCATGACCGGAACATTGTGGACACCTGCTGTGCCCTAAGGACTTGATCTCACTCTCCTCTACTGTATATATTAGCCTTGGCAAGTATTACTCCTTAGTCTGTACTCACCCCTGATGATGTGAATTACACGAAAGCGCTTGGGAACTTCGTGTATTCTTGTTTCCGTGTATTCTTGTTTACTTGTGTGTGTGTGTGTGTGTGTGTGTGTGTGTGTGTGTGTGTGTGTGTGTTTTAATCTTCATGCTTGCTTCTGTGGGGATATTGCACAAAAACTGCTCTGTCCATGTGCCTATAAGAAAGGAAGAAGTAAAGATACACTACAGGATGAGCTTTTAAGCTATATTGGTCACACATAGAAAGAAGAAATACTAATCTCTAATTTCCTTTATCATAGACGTGTGGACCGTTGAAGTTACATCTTTCTTGAGGGGGTCTCTAATCAAATCAGAAATACTCACATTTTCCCACAAAATAAAATGCTGTACAATAAAATAGACCGTTTATATTTAAAAAATATATATATTTCATATACACCATGCACACTGCAATAAGGAAAACAATATTGTTAAATAAAATATTCTGTCCTGTGTTTTAGAACTTTAGCTACAAAAACGTTATTGATACTTTGTAGAGTGACATTTAATTCCAATGTACTGTACTAGATAAGGGCGCTCAATAACATTTGCCACTTAAGTAATGATTCATTTTAAGATTATTACAGCACTTCTGTGCGTGTTTTATTAGTATTAATTTTTTCTAATTAATCAACAATCTTAGTTTTGAGTCTCACAATCTTTGTACATAATAAACAATAGAACTTTGTTACAGTATCATCATCATTACTATCATCTTATATCAGTCCAACGCAGGAAGAAATCCTCTCCCAAATTGTCACTCTGACCTACCAGTTGTTAGCCAGTTCCATCCTACACCAGCAAATTTGTGAATTTCATCTATTCTTCCGATTCCCTGCATAATCAGATTTTTTGTTCGACTTTCTCGGTATATCTAAGAAAAAGATTGATTCATTGAACACTTGGGAGCCCTCGATGTTAAAGGCTCTAAAGGCCGCCCCTGTCTATGAATTCATCACAGAGAAGTTTGATTCCTTCATGTCCCCAAGAACAATGCTCGAAAGAATCTATTATAACTTGATAGTGTCTATCTGAAAATAAATATTACCTTTAGAGTGTTAGATTCATCAGTTTTTTATTTTCTCATTTGTCGAGAAATATCGACTATTGAGTCCAGGTTTTCTTAGGACAATGTAGAGATATTTTAAGTAATGTATTTTCACCAAATATTTTGAGCAGATGATAGACAAAATAACGAATTTTACTCGCAAGTTTAATTAAAAGAGATTTTCATACATACATTAGTTAACACACGATTAGGTCTAGTTTTATATATATACATAATTACATTTATGTTAAAACCTTCAGTAGAAGTACTTTGTCGGGAACTGAGAACTATAATTTTCAACTCGGTGCAACAGGTCTCTTAAGTCATCTCGAGTATTATTATACTTGGAAACTATCTGTAATTTCCACTCAGAAACCATTGGCTATGGAATAGTCACACATTAATCTATGTAGTTTAATGTCTTAAGCTCTGTAGACACACTCAGCCGTGTGTGAAACAGGTACAAACTTGGAGAACTCAACACCGTTCTTGTTGAAGACAGCAGCACACTTCTCCACGGCGGGTCCTGAGGTCTGGGGTGTCCGGGAGAACACGAAGGCGAACTCAGATTTGTAGTTATCGGTGGTGATACATGAGTAGACGCAGGAGTAGGTCTCGTAGTCTGTCTCGATCACCTCGTAGGGGGCAGCGAACACTGCAGAAACAAAAACCCTTGTCAGTAATGAGGATCTTCAGTGGTAAACGTTTATTGAATAACCTATGCAAATCCATAACCAGAGAATACCCGTGCATGAGCTCATTTTTATAAAGTTTTCTATTGCTGGATATCGAAAACCCGTTAAAAATAATTTCATCGTGGCATTTGGTCACGTTGTACTACGTCAGTAATAACTTACCTGAGGGAGCATCAATGAGCATGTGAGCGGCTGGAAACTCCTTAGTGGGGTAGACCTTAAAGTCTATCTTGAGGTATTCGTCATTTGGGTTAAAGCCAGCGGTGGTCACCTTGAAGCCATAGTCATTCCCGGAATATTCATAGTTGGAGTTTATGCATCGAGTTACCGGCTGGTAAGCGTTTTCTATGATGTGGGTTTGATACCAACGACCAGCGTACTGAGGAAAAGGACAATCTGTTGTTAAATAAATTTCAACTTACTAATTATACTTATGTAACGAAAATGACATCTCACAGTGTGAGGCATGACAAAGTTGCGAGGACATGGGATTAACTTAGTCTCAGAAACTGAAATAGTTGACCACTAAGCCCTGTAGCCCTAATATATATAAACAATATAAAAAACCTTGACACTAACCCTACGGAGGTCGAAGTTGTCCTGGTTTGCCACTGACGCACATTTGCCAGCAGTGACAAAACTTGGAATTCCATCAGCAGCCACACAAGCCACAAGAGCGGCGACAATTATTGTTCTAAACATGGTGAGACTTGGTTATGCACTGAGTAACAAATTTATCCCAGCCTTTTTATATGAGCCACCACCCGGACCCAGACACCCGTTAGAGGGTGGAGTCAGTAGGGTACCTACGACGGGACTGCAACATTAACAACAGATTCCATGTCAGGTTTTTACTTTTCAAAATTTCATCTGAGATTGTTGTGATATGTGAATATTTTAGTCGTAACCTTCATCAATAAAAACATATGTATTTACCTATATATTCTAAAAGGAGCATTAGTTACACTTCATGAAGAGAAAATATCAAATATGAATTCATGTGTTAACCTTGGTGGGCGGAGCTAGTGTTGCCAAGCAGAGACCAGACTATATAAAGTGCGTTTAGGATCTGTAGACACTCAGAACCTAGTCAAACTTACACCATGAATTCACTGAGCATTCTGCTGGTCTTTGTGGCCTCTGTCGCCGCTGACAAAATCCCAGACTTCGTGGTCCCCGGCAAGTGTGCTTCTGTTGACAGGAACAAGTTGTGGGCCGAACAGACACCCAACCGCAACAACGTGAGTTTTCTCTACACATACAACTATTAAAAAAGATATTTTGAACAATTTAATTCACTGTTATATATTTTCTTAAGTTCTAAGTACCCAAATTTCGCTTTCAGGTTATTTTGAAAACCCACAATGAGTTGTAATTATTTCAAAAATAACCTGAAAGCGAAATTTGGAATTTATTCTAACCTAACCTAACCCAATCCAAACTCACCTAACCTAACCTAACCTGACCCAATCTTAACTAACCTAACCTAACGTAACCTAACCCAATTCAAACTAACCTAACCTAAACTAACCTAACCCAATACAAACTAACGTAACCTATAGTAAAATATCGCTTCTGGTCATTTTCCAAACAACCACAACGCGTTGTGGACGCTTTTCGCTTTCTTTGCCGTATATATATATATATATATATATATATATATATATATATATATATATATATATATATATATATATATATATATATATATATATATATATATATATATATATATATATATATATATATATATATATATATATATATATATATATATAATTGTTCTTCCAAATGAATAAAAAAACATAAGGCTCTCAGTATAACAATGAATAGTTAAGTGTGTATAATTCCTTTTGTATAATATTTTCATTTTTTCAGTATGCAGGTGTATGGTATCAGTTTGCTCTCACCAATAATCCGTATCAACTGATTGAAAAATGTGTCCGCAACGAATATTCCTTTGGTAAGATCTTCTTAACCATCTTTGTCATCGTTTCTAAATTTTATTTTAAAGTTAATGACGAATACTTGTCATAGGAAACTGTTGTTTGTGAACGATGAAATGTGACATTGTGTTCAATCTCTATCCAACAGATGGAGAGCAGTTTGTGATTACTTCGACTGGCATTGCCTATGATGGTAATCTGTTGAAGCGCAATGGGAAACTGTATCCCAACCCCTTCGGTGAACCCCATCTCTCCATTGACTACGAGAACTGTAAGTGTTTACAACCAGTGTTCCATATTCTTTACTAAATTATCCCTAATTGTGGTCATGTTTGATAATGTTTACGATTGATTCTATGATATTATTCTGATAATTTAAAGAAACCTAATACACACACACACACACACACACACAGACACACACACACACACATCAGAAAAACAAAAAGACCAAAAATTAGTCATTAATTAACAAGAACCCTCCCCAGGGGTGTTCAGTGCTCTATAGGAAACGTCTCACAAAATCGTCCATCAGTTCCAAGGTCCTACAAGGAATTCGAGAATGCTTAATGAACCTATCGCAATTATTTTTCATTCATAACTTACCATTTGATAATTGTCATATTACTCTTCCTTCCGCCAGCCTTCGCCGCCCCGTTGGTTATCCTGGAGACAGACTACTCTAACTACGCCTGCCTATATTCCTGCATCGACTACAATTTCGGATATCATTCCGATTTTTCCTTCATCTTTTCTCGCTCTGCCAACCTTGCTGACCAATATGTAAAGAAATGTGAAGCTGCGTTCAAGAACATCAATGTTGACACGACTCGCTTCATCAAGACCGTCCAGGGATCCTCCTGTCCTTACGATACTCAGAAGACACTCTAGGCTGATCACATCACTAAATAACAGTACAATGATCAAGCGTGAGAATGCTACCTGGAATCCTTGCGGGGACCATCAGCAACACACAATAAATTTATTGTGTTTTGATACGATATTTTCTTGTAAAAATACTTTTCTATTTTTCATCAAGCTGCCGTAAATGTTGTACAGTTTATATTAAACATATTCCTAAAAAATTGTCTGAGATAGTTCAAATACCTTAAAAACACACAACAAGGGTTACTTTAAAACAGGAAATAACAAAAGTTGGAATGGCTAATGACTTTGCAAACTTAAAAGTAAAAAAATCAATTACAATTCTAAATGCATTGATGTCATGGATTCAAATAGCAGTACACTGACTGATGGGGTCATGAACTAGAATTTAACCACCGTATGCCGTGGACTACCTTGGTGTAAATATTGTGAATTCCATTAAAGGTAGTGTACCACCAATCACATGGCAGAAAGTGAAAGGAGAAACAAGCGAACTAGCAATTCAGTGGGTTTTTTTTACCAAAAAGTTCATGTTTGTGTACTTTGTGTAACAAGCATTTTTTTTTCACAAAAAGGTCACTTTCAGAATTTAATTTTCATATAAAATGCTTGGCTCAGCGTTTTGATTGTACAGTCCCTTTCACTAGTGTGTTTACCGGGGCTCTTCAGGTTCTGTGCAGTGTTTGTTTACATTTGAATATAGGAAACAAGCAATAATAAACTTACTATGGAATCAAATTTAAATAATATTAAAACAAATATCTCAGAGATAATGATTTGTGGAATGATTATATAACGAGCCCCTGTAAACGCAAGAGTGAAGGGAACTGTAACTGGCTCCATTTCATGTCATCGATGGCTCATCCTGCTTCTGTTATAAATAAATGGTCATAAATTTGAATCTAATTACAGATTTTTATTCTTATTTCTGATTTTACTTGTTAGAATTATTACAAAATTAATTTCAAACTAAATTGGCCTTCCATAAGAAAAGGTAGATTCAAGAATGACAACCTTTCTCCTGCTAGAACACCCCTTATTCAACGATACATTAAGGTGGTCATATTTAGGGCCAGTTTATTTGTCCACAAGTGAGTCTGCCCAATCCTGCACAGTGAAGTTAATCAAGAACTGATAACGGGAACCACACTGGACAGTTTTGCCTGAACCATCGAAGAGGTGCAGGGAGCTTATCAAATGTGGATATCAGAATATCATATATGTCGGGGTACAGGTCTTCTTAGATTCTCCCGTGATAATTGTTCATGTGCTACACTATGGTCATATACGTCTATAGAAATAACATAGACACTTCTTAAAATTATAAATAGTTGGGGGACCTTGACTAAAGCATTTATGCGGATACTTGACCTATAACTAGAATGCAGTGTTTATTAACCAGCACCCAATAATAATTAATGCGCCAGAATATGCTCAATGTAATATAATACAGAGAAAATGCAGAGTCCAATTTGCTGAAAGTCTTTTGAAACCCACGTCATTACACAAACACCATTACATGAGCAATTCAATTTATATTACTAATTCTGAGAAAAATTACCAAATAAGTCTTTATATTGAAGAAATTGCTCAGTCACACGCTGTACATGTAAATATAATAAAAATGAAGAAGCTCCATCTAAATACCAAGTTATGATTATTTATCTGGTGACATATACCAGATATATATATATATATATATATATATATATATATATATATATATATATATATATATATATATATATATATATATATATATATATATATATATATATACTACTACTAATAATAATAAACAGTTTATTATAGAGTTGCAGCCGGTGGCTGAAAATATATATATATATATATATATATATATATATATATATATATATATATATATATATATATATATATATATACACATATACATATATATGTGTGTGTTTGTGTGTGTGTGTGTGATAATAATAAAATAATAATTATAATAAACGGTTTATTAATATAGTTGTGGCCGGTGGCTGAAAATATACAAACTTACATTTGATTTAGACATAATGATTTGCGTTGAATACATTTACATTCTGTACAGTACATAAATCAGGAGCTGCTTATTATTTTAACAATCGATGTGATGGTGCTAGTCTTATATCTATCAATGCGGGCTCTTATGGGCTGAATGTTGTTGTAGTGGCAGACTGCACGAGGTGGGGGGGGGGGGACTGCTGGTGGCAGTAAGTGGCGATGACGAGGATGCTTCAGTAGTCCACTGCCAAACCCTGCCAGTGAGTGGTGATTGAGGTCACACAGAGATGGCATTTCCAGGGTGGAGAGAGCGTTGTTGTAGCCCGAGTAGTCTGCGCCGAGTATGATTCTGCAGGCCCTCTTTTGTATACTCGGAAACCATAATCTCTAGCTCAACTGGATCGGTGCTGGAGGTTAGTACAGTGTCCTTTCTGGACGGGGGCCCACTCTAACTATCACGAGGCAACACAGGCATGAACACACACAGTTATAGTACGGCTGTATAGATGACATTATGTATAAGTATTGTATATGGCATTTTATACTCTGCATTATCTTCATTATATATGAACAAGAAGAAAAATTACCATAGGTTGTAGTTACGAAATTATGAATGGAAATAAACACTTCCAAACCACCCAGTGAATCCACACAACGTTTACAGCTCTTGTGTGTGTGTATTCCAGACCACGATGCTTCCACCACACCCCATCTATAACTTTTATTTTCCCTTCATTCGCATAACTATATGAAAAATCGTGTTGAATTTAATTACATTTTTCAAAAACCTTAAATTACATGTGGATCAGTCACTCCTCATTTGACACACTTATATTGTAATACTTTGGGAAACGAAAAACGATGACAATATGGTCAGAGTCCCAAACTTTCGGTTGG